CAACCCAAGAAAAGAGCTACCGAAAGTTACAACGTCCAGAATATTATGTTGGGCGATTAGACTGATGGCGTTCGACTTTGACATTGAATATGTTAAAGGGAATACGATACCGCACGTTGATGCCTTATCTAGATTGAGGTTTTATAGAGAGGAGAAGGACAAAAACGACGAGGAATTTGAAGACACATCCTTGCACCTTGTAGAAACCGATATAATATCTGTAGATAAAATGGCTACTGAAACTACAAATGACCCAGTGTTAAATAGAATAATGTTGAGGATAAAACAGAATCGCTGGGGAAATTGTTCAATGGCTGAAAGACCATTCAAAGAAATCAGACATAAAATGACTATAGAAAACGGGATAATATGTAATGGAGACTTGGTAGTTCCCCAGAAACACAGAGGAGACAGGTTATAAAATGTGTACACGATGACGTACATTGTGGAGTGGCAGCTACGCAAAGAAGATTAAAATTGGAAGTGGTGGCGGGGTACTCAAGAGACGTAGAAGACTACATAAAAGATGCAAAAAATGCACAGAACTCAGGAATTTTAAGCAAAAGAAAATACATGTATGGCCCCGAGAAGTAGAACCATGGAGCAGAGTACACATGGACCATGCCTATGTCAATGGGATAGGACTATTATTAATATTAGTAGACGCATATTCAAGTTGGCCTGAAGTGGTGAGAGTACCTGATAAAAAAAGTACCACCGTAAAACAAATATTAAGAGTAATATTTTCGAGGAATGGGACACCGAGAACATTGGTGACTGATAATGCACCAGAATTTGTGGATACTGATTTGCATGAATGGCTAAGAAAAATAGGATGCAGACCTTACAAGACACCTCCCTACCACCCTCAAAGTAATGGGACAGCAGAAAGGATGGTCCAGACGGTAAAGAAGGGCATAAAAGCATGCTTGCAACAGAATGAGGAAATCGATGCTTTTCTACAAGACTATTATTAAGTTACAGAACAATTCCACATGCAGGCAGGCCGGAAAGTCCATCTGCCTTAATGGGCAGACAATTAAGGTCCCCTTTGACTGTCATATGCCACAAATCAAAAGATGTGGTACATAAAGAAATAGGAATATGCAACCCGAGTCAGCCGAATTTATTATGCAGAAAGTACATAATACTGCAATATTAAATAAAGAAAATGGGAACAGTGTTCTAGCTCATGCTGACCAAATAAGATCCCAAGGAGAAGAATCGGATAAGGAAATGCCTTCAGAGATGCCCATTATTGACGTAACAGAAGAGTTAATGCAGAATGAAACTGCGGAGGAAGAAGAAGTAGAGAGGGATGAGTTAGAAGAGGAAGAAGTAGAATGGGACAAGTAAGAAGAGAAAGACCAGAGTATGCAAGATGAACAGTTCGATTATAGGGAAAGACGTGATAGATCTAGATCTCCAAGGGAAAGGAGAGAGATAAAGGAAGATGTTCAGGAGGGCACAAGAAGAAGTACAAGAAGTACTCACGGCATAAGGCCCCTCCATTATAGGGAGATGTAGTGAGATGCAAATTAGTATAATTTGCATATGAGCAGGTAGCTCATATGATAAACGGACACCAACTAGAACAGAGGTCGAACGCTTACTTAGCAATATACATGACAACAAAAACATCTACCATCTTCAGTATTAATTATTAATTTTATATTCAAAATATATTTTATGGAAGAAATTTCTCTTTTAATGTAAAGAATTAAAATATATCTATTGATATCATAAAATAATTTATTTTTATAATTTAAATCAGGACATATTTGCATTAAGGTATTTTTGGTGGTTTTCATTCATTTTCAGGCTGGAAAACTAATTAATCTTATTAACTAATAAAAATATACTTATTATTTTGAAAAAAAGTCTTCACCTGTTTTAAGCTAATACTGCAAATTTTCACACAATGTGTTAACTATGAAGCCCAGTGGAACAATAGACCTTCTTTGATTGTCTTCAAATACAAATGTGCAATTCATAATAAAATTGATATTATTATTACCTCATCATTTTGTTTCATGAACTGCTTTTAAAAGAACCCCAACAGGTTTATGGGTGGTCTAGTAGCTACTAAAGCATAAATATCTTATGAAGCAAGAAACAAAACATTTCTAACGATTATGATAAAAGTCAGTTTGAATAATGATCATTTCATAATAGGAGGAAAGAATAGAGATGCTATACTGAGCTGTCATAGTCCTTCATTTTGTCCTTCATTGTATTTCAGAAGGCAAACAAAAGACATTTAGCAGTAGACATCTCTCCATGTCACATAATACTGAATGGTATGATAACCAATATGAGAGAATCATCTTTGACCTGACTAATTGAGCTGAGTAATAATTGAAAGATAAAAGAAAAACTTTAAAAACATACTTATAATCAATCTTAATAAAGAAACACTTTTCTTAATGTTTCAGTAATATTACAGGGTATTAATGATACAGGAATAAACATTGTAAATAATGGTTTAATTTGTTAAAACAATGTTGAATTAGTAACTATCTACAAATATCTGTCTGGGAATTATTTTTTTCCTTTGTAACAGGATAGTTGACCTGATAGAATTGTAATGCATGAAATGTTTAGTGACATGAGGTATTGTGAGAGTTAAGAATTCTAAGTGAAATAATAAAAATACTAAGTGGAAAAATTATGAAACATTAATTGACCACATGGAAGGTTTCATTTAAAAATATTATCCGGAACCTATAAAATGCTTATGAAGGCATAATTTTGAAGAACCCAAAATAAACCTTGAATTTCCTCTACCCAACATCTCATCCCCAAAGGAATTGTGCTGACAACATTAATGTGTTTACCAAAATTCTGCAAAGCCAAGCCAATATAGGATGTGTTTATTTAAACTATTTCTCCAATTTACATTGATCCTTATCAAAATGGATAAACCCTGAATCTGACTGAAGGTACTTTTCTACAGAGCCATCCAGTTTCCTATTAAGAATGTCTTTGTAGGAAGATAACATTCATCAATGTCTAGGGATTTCACACCAGATAATAGTTTGTTGCATCCAGAGAGAATGCTGTCACTCTATTTCACTCTCCTTAAGCTGAAAAAATCTCCAACACACAAACATCATCTAACCCTGCTGTTAACTTTGTCAACACTTCAATATCTTAATACAAAATCATCCAAGAGTAAATGTAATCTTTAACAGCCTATGATATTAAATTGTTGGCAATTTTTACATCAGTGTTTATTCTTTCTACTTATAATCATATTGTCTTTCAAGAAAGTCACTATTCAACAAAATCATGGCCTGCTAGAATAACCAGATAGATTATTTGATAATCGCATTCTAGCAGGAACACAATGATAAATCACTAGATGGCTGCATCTGGAGACCAGCAACAGGTAAACTGTGTCAGTGACCATAGAGGATGATATTTGGCACTGCAACCAATTGTAGATGTATACTTTTTTTATAAAAGGGAATGTTTTATAAATATGAATTTAACATCAATATATTTCATCTATAACCTAATAAAAAAATTTTTTTTTTTTAAATGCTACGTAGTGTAATTTTCTTTTAAAGTCTTTGAGACACAATTTCATTAATAAACTCGTTATTACTGATAAAAATAAATTCACATTTTTTTTTGTTAAAAAAGTAATATCATTTAATATTCATTTTTTTTAATTCAATTGTTCATAGATTATGCTTTATACTAAATTTATACTCCACTAAAATCTTCTTCAAAAGTCCTAAGAAATCTATTTACAGATGCTATTGTTATCAAGTAGGTTTTATAGATTCTACAAGTACCTCTAAACAAAAGAACTTTTGTTAAGGTTTCAATGGGCAGGTTTTCTTTGAAATTTCTTTTATAATGAGTGATATTACTCATAACAGTGATATTAGTGCATAAAATATTGTTTAGTGACTCAAAGTATTAAGAGACTTAATAATACTAAGCAAAAGAGAAAATGAAAATAGGTAGAGAAAAACATGAGAGTGGTTAAACAGGTTGGAACCTGATGGAAAAAAAATTTCGATTAAAAATATTAATTTAAATCTATAAAATACTTATGAGCAAGGTATCAGGAATATTTGAAGATAAAATAACCAAGTAAGTTTCAATAAAATCCAGTATAACTGAAATTCCCTGCCTAGATCCACAGCCCCAAGGAAGTCCTAATTAATATGTTTACCAAAATTCTGCAAAATCCCAACAAAATTTGGAAATTTTATTTTAGTATCCTAATAGAATTACATTGAAACCTTACCAAAATGCCTGGTCCCAAGTACTTAAGAAACACTTGCAATGCTAATAGGAAGTTCTTTGTTCAGGAATCAAACCCTTTTGAACAGTTATCCATATAAATACACCCACACACCACTAAAATCAGTTCACACTAGGCAAGTTCCCAGACCAGACTGCCATCCATTTTCATCAAAATTCTAGTATCTAAGATAGCAACACACTCACATTTCAACTATTAGATATCTTTCAGTGGCTCAAGAGAAAACAATTTACTGAAGTCAAACCATATAAATGTGATTGTTGCAACTTTTATATTTTCTAATCATTAATAAATTGTTGATAGCTTTGTCAACCAAGTTTGTTCTTTCTGCTAGAAATTCCCCACCTTTCAGGAGGGTCACCAAGAAAGTCACTAGGATCAAGATACCATCTGGACCACAAACAAAAACCACAGCCTGTTGATATGAATAAAAAAACATGCCATACAATTCTTCCCAGCAAGTAGACAACATAAAAAGGATTCCACTAGATGGCATAGGTGTGATGAGGGAGACAAATAATAGAAATAGCTATGCACAATTTACACATCCTTCACTAGACTGTAAAACCTGACTTGCGTGATAACCAGTTCATTATAAAAAGTTAAATATACAGTGCCTGGAATAACTGATTATATCATTTGATGCTGTGACATCTGAAAAGTCTTAGATTTGGTGCTGCTAATCATAGGATCATTGATGCTGGAGAAGAAAAGTGAATCAATTGTCAATCCAGAAAGAAAAAGAAACATGAACTGAATAGCAACAGGTGCTGGCATGAAGACCTGAAAAGAAGAAAAGAGAGACAAGCACAAGCTCCAACCACAGCAGCCAAATTGCAATATATTACTCACCACAATGAGGAGGAAAGAAGGGTAAGGGACAGTTAGGTAAGAGGAAAAAGAGAAAAAAAGATAGAGAATACCCAAAGACAAGACATGGTAGGCAGGAGTGATCAAGGTAGGCCAGAAATTTCATTGTTCTTCTCTTGCAAAGAGTCTGGAAGATTTTCTGAATAATAAGAAAAAACTGACCTGGGACAAAATTGAGAAAGAGGTGACCCAGTGTGGGACCTTTTCAAACATGAACAAAGCTGCTAAAGCATTAGCAGAGATGCAGCAAAAAGAGAGATCCGTGCTATCAAGCAGAATACTGGATCTGGCTTTGATGGCCTATGTAAGTCCAGATAAAAGGGATAACTCAGACATACAGGCATGGTTAGCCGAGTATTTTACAGATGCATTAAAGGATCTGTTGATAAGGGAGGATGTAGCCATCCACAAACACTGAATTTTTTTTTTTTTTTTTTTTTACAGTGGCAATTGAGTACTGCAAAGATTAGAGTATTTGGGCAAGGACTGACTGGCAAGGGCCATCAGTCTAAAAAAAAAAGGTTGAGAATTTGTTTTGACGATAGGAAAAGTGGGAATTTAAGATCATGCTATCCAGATCACAGCAAAAATGGAAAAAGAGGGATGGTGCCCCAAATGAATGTGATTCATGTTAAAAGAAAGTTTAGCTGTTGGACATGCAATAGAAAATGTCATTTCCTCAAAAAATTTCCCAAGACAATCTGTTTTCACTATCAGAAAAAAAAGATATACTAGAAGATATTACCATACAAGTTGACAAAATCTAAGTGCTGCAAGAGGAAGGATAAGATAGACAAGTTAAGATAAGAAAGGAGGATTATGAAAGGCGCAGTCTGTCTGACACCAAGGAAAAGGTAAAAAGAAAAAGAAAAGGCAAGGGTCTATGAGATTATGACAAGCAACCAAATTGACCTGCAATGTTATGCTATTGAGACATAAAACACAAGCATTAATCAATTATGAATTTGACAGTACTAAAACAGTTGAATATAGTGAGGGATTGGTTGAAGCCAGCCAATTTAATGGTTACACAGGCAGATGGTAGTGAAATTGGAAGAAATGGCTGTCTTACTTGTGCAACTAGGTAAACAAGAGGTAACCCTGCAATGATTTTAAGTATCCTCTTAATTAAATAGAGCATTAATATTGGGTGGAAATTGGCTCTGAAAGAATGGACCTTGATTTTTTTTGATCCCCAACTGGGTAACAAAGAGATACCATTTGTTGAGAAACAGAAAAAAAGAAGTATGGTATCAAAATATCCCCTAACAGTAATAAACTAGATTAGAATTTCCTAATAAGAAAATTGCATTAAGTGATCTGTTTAATGAAGTTTCACTCAGAAAGTGAAGAAGTTACTATGTTGGGAAAATTAGTGAAAGAAAACGAAGTAGGCAGTATCCAAGTGATGATAGTAAGTTACAACTAACAAAATGGCACAAGTGTCACCTAAGAAGGAGCTGGGTAGAGTGGTAAATGTCAAGAACTGAGTTAGGTATGAGAAGGAAGAGAAAATTAGAACAAAAATAAGCCTACCAAATCAATGGAGATAAGCTTGTGGTTCAAACAGATTTTAGGGAGATATTGTCTCAGTTGTCAAGAGTTAACAAAATAGTGATAACAAATTCAGACAAAGAGCTGGGGAGGACCCATACTGTAAAAATGAAAATAGACACTGGCGACCACACACTAGTAAAATTAAGATTGTACAGAACTCACATCCACAAAAAAGAGCTGGTGGGGCAAGCTATTCAAGAAATGATAGATGCAGGAATGTAGAAAGATGGTGGCCACCTTGGAGTTTCCCCATAGTAGTGGTAACAAAGAAGAATAGAGAACAGATTCTGTGTTGACTTCTGGGCTTTGAAAAGATCTCTAGGCTGCTAACTTACCATCTACTATTAATTGAAGACATTTTGGCTTTGTTAAGGAATGTCACTTATTTTTCCCCCCTCTTGATTTAAGAGTGGGATACTGGCAGGTGACTATAGATGAGGCTGATAGGGAAAAGATGGCTTCTGCATATCACATGGGACTATATCATATAAAGTTATGCTGTTTGGATTAGCAGGAGCCCCTGGTATTTTTCAGTAGCTCATGTCCATAGTACAGAGTGAACTGGATTTTGCAGTGGTGTATATCAATGACATATTGATATTTTCTAGAGACAAAGAAAAGCACTTCAGACATTTACAGGTAGTATTTGATCAAGTAAGGGAACATGGTTTGAAAGTGAAATTACAGAAATATCAATTTCTCAAGGATGAAACAAGATATCTTGGTTTTATCATTAACAAGAATGGAGTGAAGCTAGATATACATATGGTTGAGATGATATGATCACAACCAGAATCCTGAACTGTAAGGAAAATTTAAAGATTTATGGGTACTGTAGTTTACTCTAGAAGATCTATCTCAGGAATTTTCAGATTTGCAACACCATTGATAAATGGAACCAAGAAATATGTTAGATTTAAGTGGTTTAATGATTGCCAACAATCCTTTAATGCATTAAAGGCTGTTATGAACTGCTTGCCACAACACAAAATTTAAAAAAGGAAAAGGTTTTTGTCAAAGAGTGAATGAGATGTCTTACAGGTTCAAATACACAGATGAGGAGAAACAACAGTAATGAACAATAAACATCAGAATATAATTTAATAAGATTTAATTATAACAATATGATACAGGAAAACATTAGTGCAAGACATTACACAAAAAGTAATCACTTAGCTTTAGTTTCTTACCCGAGATAAAATGGGGTTTTCTCTTTTCCCTTTACTCACTCTTTTCTTTTGCTTTATATTTCTCTTTTGTTCTTCATAAATTCAGCTCAATTCCTTTTGCTCAAGCAGCGATATCTTTTGATTTGTTCTTCCTTCACCGTTATGAGTTTTTACCCCAAGAGATGGTTGTTTACTCTTTTCTTCACATATTCAACAATGTAGAATTCATCATTCAGGTAGGAAGATTCAGCGCTGTATCAGCCATAGCTTCTCTCCAATTGAATAATTGATCAGGTTACACATGCCTGTCTTAGGTGATTCACTTAGTAATTCACCCATGCATTTGATATATGGGGCATAGTGATTTTGTGTTGAGTTGGAACTGGTCTTCATTGGCTGATTTCCTTTACTTGACAGTAGCAAGTGAAAAGAGATGTTACTCGCTTAAGATCTTTGATCCAACTGATTCCTTCTGATATTTATCTGCTCAAATTTTTCTACTTGATTCTATACATGTGTGAGAAGCTATTTTAGCTCTCGCCTTAATCTATTTCTAAAGTCATCAGTCTGTCTGACCCAATTATTCACTAGTCAGCAATTGAAAGAGAGAGGGGGAATGAATGTATTTTATTATAGAGAAGTGGAAAGAGAGATGGTTTGCTAAGTGTAAAATGTGTGCACGTGGTTAGGGGTTTTGGCTGCATAAGGATATAACAAGGTGCATTTAACAGTTGTGCCCCCTACTGGCATCCAGTACTGAGCAAACCAATGATGCTGTATATTGATGCAAGTGACAAGTGCATTCGAACTTGCCTGACACAGCCCTGTCCAGAACAGGAGAGTCCAGTAGAAGGTGTGAAGAAATTTCAATTTATTTTCTATCATACAACTTTTCCCTCACCTAGCAAAAAATGGCCAGTGATTGAAAAAGAAGCATATTCTATAGTATATGAACTCTAGAAATTGACTTTGTTATCTGAATGGAACAGAATTCATAATAAAAATGGATCACAAACCATTACAGTAGCTATTTGAAGCTGAATGGTCAAGAAGATTCCACAGTGGATATCAAGATTAAGCAGTTATAATTGCCATATAGACTATCTATCAGGTAAGGAAAACACCTGTGCAGACCTATTGCCACAAATTCCAAGGAGAACATTAGAACATGAATTATTGATGGCCTGAAGTGGATGACAAGGTTTATCTAATTATTATATCATAAATCCACATAGGTTAAAGGATACATCAGTCTAGCGTGTAACAGATGAGGATGAAAAGAATGTGGTTCACCTCACCCACATATGTGGGTGAGGTGAACCACAAGATCTTTATAGAACAGCAACATAAAATCATTTTATAGGCAAGAGATAGAATACACAGAGCTCAAAAGAAGAGAAATCAGAGGGCCAATAGAAAAATCAAAGAAGTAAAATTGGCCATAAGAGACTCAGCTTTTTACAAGATGCATGTAAGGCATGGTAATTTTTAGTCAAGGTGGTGGCCTTACTATTGAATAGTTGAACAGACAAAACAAATTTCATTCAGGATATGGGATCAAATGGCAGATAAAACAAAAAGGGTACATGCTAATGATCTGAAACTGGCTGAGATTGAAAAATGGGGTATCCCCAAAACAACAGAAGAAAGGCTGAATCGATAAGTGAATTTGGCCAAATTGTAGGTTGAGTCAGAGGAGGACAGTTCAGGTATAAAGACAGAGTTGAAAACTCAGGATTTGTAGTCAATAGTTGATAATGTGATGGGAAATGATGGGTTCTAATGACACAGAAGAGTGGGAAACCAACTACTCCATTGGCAATTGCCTACAATCCTATCAATTGTATCATCATCCTGTAAGGTTAACTTAAGAAACTTAGTGAAAGAACTTCCTTCAACTTGTGTGACAACTTTTCATGGGTTAAGATTAACTACACTTTACATGAGACACTGCAACACTAAGTATAATTGACTGGTTGGAATGATGGTTATGGTCTGGTGAACCTGTCAGAGGTGTGTTTGGAAGCCAACAACAAGGACATAAGAAACTACTTGGAATTCTTGTCACAAAAAATCTCCAACTGCTTAGCTAATTGATGTCATGTCCAGACATCTTGAATGTTCTGATGCAGTCATATCACATGTAATCATTCAATATCAGCCAAGGGAGTACTGTACAGAATGTGGTGCAACTGATCACACCATACGTTCTTATTCAATGATATTCAATCTCCCTAAGAAGTTGTATATCAGTCTTGTTGAGGATATCTTCATTGATTAAATTCTTATTGAGTTTATTATATAAAGGATGTATAGAGTTATAGTCATTATGATTATTTAATTATGAAATATCTAACATTGATTCTGAACAATATTTTACTTTGCTTTGATTCTCCATCGATAACTTAGAAATTCTAATCATTAAATTCTTGTCTG